AATGAGATACTTTGCATCCAGGTGCCTGAGGTGAGCCTGAGGGGCAAGCTGAGGAGAAGTCCAAGCGATTTCTCCCATCGTGCTTCCTGAGAGCACTAGCAGGAGGACGCCTTAGTGACCAGACTGCGAAAGGAGATTCTGCAATCTCCAGTGAAGGCAGCACCCGAGGTCTGGGCAGGTCATGCTCTTTCATGCAGGCCCCTGACTGAAAGGGGGAAGGTAGGGAGGGGAGCAGGGATGAGAGCAACCTCTGCACATTGTTTTACAGATCGCTCCCAAAAAGGCAACAGAACTAACCCTCCTTTCAAGCACAAGCTTGAAGCCATTCACATCCCCCAATTTCTGGTGTTCTTTGAATTATAGCATCCCCCCCTGCACATGAGCACCCCAAGTATGCCAGCTTCTTGGAGGTCTATCCAGAAACACCAGCGGAGGCTCGGGGTGAAGCACAAGAGTGCTATAATTTAAACCCCCCACCTCAGGAGGGTGCTGTCCAACCACTGCTCTAGGTCGGGGTGTCAAAGTACAGGCCACAAGACAGATTCAGCCCACAGAGCCTCCCTATCTGGGTTACCAAAGGTGCCAGAAGTTGGGCCCTTTGGCCCTGCTGGGCATGTCCATCAGTGATGAACCTGGCTTGTTGCTACTGGATCCTGCACTACTACTACCCCCACTAGACCCTGTGCCAAGGCCACCACTGGACTCTGCATCGCCCCATGCCATCACCACTGTGTTGGCCACTGAGGGAGCCCTCACATCCTGGGTTGGACCAGATCCACAAGGATCACCCTATGCCACAGCCACTGCCATGTTGGCCACTGTGGGAGCCTTTACACCCCAAATCTGCATCCAGCCTAGGGCCCCACATGAGTTTGACACCCCTTCTCTAGGTGGACAACTATAGGAGGAGTTAAAGGCTCACTGCTAAAGCAAGGAGTTTCAATTAGACTGCAGCCTCTGAGAAGAGAAAGATAACTATTTTCTTTGGCTGATAAGTATGGGAAACAAACAGGACGTGGACCACACTATCCTCACAAAGCCGAGTCCATTATAGATGAGCCAAATGTCCCCCCTTGACCATACATGCACAAAAGACCCCAATACAAACAGCACAACTACAGTATATAAATTCTGGAAGAGCAAGTTACATGTCCAGCAACAGATCCCAGGGATGCCATAAGGGGCAGCTAACCACCACCAAGTGAGCTGCATCCACCCAGGTGTAGGCATCAGATGCATCACAAGAAGTTGACTGGTCAGCAGCTCTCCATGTTATAGTCTGAAGAACAGAGCAACGCTCATCTCAAAATTAAGCTGTAGACCCTGAAGGACCTGAAGCAAACCACCCCCTACCTTCAATACTCACGTGGTTTTTGTGAATGCTGGGAGCAAGGGAGATGCACTGGAGTTTACCCACTAACAAAAACTCCCCATTATACTACACTCTGGCTAGTCTCTAAAGAAGAACTGTACCGCTTCTATTCAGCTGTCCTTAGGAGCACGGTGCTCACCACAGCTATGCCTATAATAGGCCAAAATGCATCCATACACTCCGGAAGGTGCTGCATCTTACCGTGACTTTATCGCTTGCACTGCATCATTACTAGAAATGATTAACGGAGGCACAACCTGCTGCCATGTCTGGTCACTGCAAAAGCAAAGACCAGCAGGGGGAGCCACAGCACAGCCTTCCAGAGAAGAGCCAGCCACTGCTGCCCCTGCTCACTACGCTGTGGGTCCAGGCCTCATCCTCCTCATTCCCAAGGCCCAGGCAGCTACTTTATGGCACTTCTGGACACTTCCCATCTCCTTTGTGCCTTATCTACTTCCAACACCCCTGTCCTCTCAAAGGAACAAGTGGGCAACAGATAATTTTGGAGGAGTGAGGGGTGTTTGGAAGGGGTACACGCACTACAGTGTGAACCAGTCTTAAGTAGCGCCACCTTCTACTTCTCCCCAGTGTGACCCCGCCATGCAGGTCACTCCCCTCCCTGCTGTCTGTACACAGGCTGCAGCATCACTGCAGGGTTAATGACCTCACACCACAGGGAGGTCTACCTTAGTCTAGCCCTGCTGTCTAATGCATGTGAGCCTGAGGTTTGCCATGTACTAGTCAGGCTCTGGATTCTCTGGTTTCTACTGTCAGGCCATGCATCTAAATGTATGATCCTCTTTAGCTACCATGGCCTGAAAATTAGACGCTCCTTCCCAATCTCCACAACCAGGCATACAAGCAAACTACTGTCCCTCAGGGTAAAGTTGTAGTCATGTTCCTGGCTGTCAGATGGTCACATCCTCTCCTGCAGCTGCCTCCCCATCTCTTATTGTGACTCAGTCAATCACAGATTGGCATTTACACCACATAGTTAACTGCAGCACTAATCAGAACTAAGTGTCAATGTATTTGTTAGTACACTGGTTTGTTTTTCGGGGGGGATATTTTTTTTTAACCTCTTGTGCTCTATTCAAAGGTTATTCACTTTAACCCCTTCTTGTGTAAGGCCAGCCCTCTCCTTCCCATCAGTCTCTCTGCTTATTTGTCCTATTCTCTATCCATATCCCAACTGCCTACTCAAAACTAGCAGCCCCTCACTCATCACTGATTCTACATAGTGCCAAAATGCACATAACCAGGTTCTTGTTTGCCCTTCCATTCCCTGGGGCACTCCCCACACTACCGCCAAGGGCTTGTGGACTTGTATCCCATTAAAGAAAGCAGAACCAAAGTACTGACAGTCACAGCTTTGCATTTACTGGGACTCACAGCAAAGGAAAGGAGCCTCTGAGAATTGTTCTCCTTCCTGTGGAAGGAGAGAGAAAAGGGCAAAATGCAGCCCTATTCTTCCCAGTCTCCCAACCATCAGAAGGGCTGGGAAAGTGGAGCAGCTGAAGAGGACCAAGCTTCATCCCTCTCCCCCTCTGCCACAGCTAACCCATATACAGAAGATTGTTTTAGTTGCATTTTGGTGCCCTGCTGTAATCCATTTGTCTCATTCTCACAAAAAATTGCTACAAAGGAATACCTAGTAACGTGCAATGCATTTTTAATTAGAGCTATGCAAATATCCTGTTTAGACTAAATACCTACCACCTTCAAGAGAACTGCAGACTGACTGATTTATATAAAAGAAAATCTCTGGAGACCCAAAGAGCATTGCCCCCAAATTCACGAGTCTGATCAGAGGATCAGGGCTGCACTACAATGAAACAGAAGAAGAGCATGGATGAGTGTAGCAGGACACTTGCAGCTTAGTGTGGGACACTACACCAGCTCGGTAACTGAGAACCACCATTCTACCACCCTAAACCCCACAGCTAGTCACCAGAGGAGTTTCCATTTCAGTTCCCATCTAGCCCCATGACTGCCGTGTCAGAACACCTCACAAGCGTCAACTGTTTCTCTTCAGCACCCTTGTTAGATAGGGAGGAGCTATTATTCCATTTTACAGAAGAGAAATTTTGGGCACAGAGACGCTAAGCAATTTGGCCAATATCACTCAGAAAATATTTGGCAGAACAGGGAACAGAACTCAGATCTCCTAAGTCCCAGTCCAATCCCACCCAAGATTAACTTATCTGAATTGTTAAGTTTTTTCAAAAAATCACGTGCCAAGGAGCTTGAAGGGCTTTTCTGAATAACGTTTGAGTCTCCAGACCAGGAAGGACCAGAAAGAAGAAGTACAACCTTGTATCAAGAGCTTTGTTAGTATTAGAACAGGCAGTGGTACCATGGAAGCAAGCTCACAAATGCTATACAGGAAACCCTCGCTAGTCACAGCTTTGGCATTCGCGGTTTCGAATATTTGCAGTGCTGCACCAATCCACACTCTCCCTGCTGGCAGCGTGCTGACATTGTTACTGTGTCGACGGCATCTGCAGGAGCTCCGCGCTTGCTGCCACTGGGTTCCTGCTGTGTTTCCACAGCTGCCAGCGCACCCGTGCCCCCCCAGCTGCCAGAGGCACACGCTGTTCATGACATATTTGCGGATTTTGCCATTTGCATGGATCTCTGGAACGTGTGCCCCGCGAATAGTGAGGGTTTCCTGTACTGGTTTGTGCTCTAAGCAGAAGGACACCTGATAAAATGAAGAAGTTCAAACCAGCAAGGGATAGATTTCTCTTTTCTGTAAGGGCATAAGGCAAACAGGAGAGAGTGGAAGTTTCACATCACCTTGCCTCCCTTGGATGTGTGAGCATTCAAACAAGGAGCTGCACAAACATACATGTAAGTCCTCCTCACAAGTGCATGCAGGACTCAACTAAAGTGGACAATTTTCCTTCCAGATCCAACAAAGGTTCCCCCTTAGATGGAAGTTGGTGTTTATTAGTGAAGTACTCAGCAGCCAGACCAAAATGAGCATGGACACTTACACTTTTCATGCCAGGGTGAAGGGAGAATATTCAAATGTCTCTCTAGGGAAGATGCATATTTTTGCTGACAAGTGGAAAAATGGACCTCACTTCTGGCCAGCAGCCTGGGTGTATACTTACTGTCTCCAAGAATCAGCTCAACTTCCTCGTCTGCATCAGAGTCTTCATCTTCACCTTCATCCCCCTCTTCCAACAGGTTGGCAAGCTCCTCATCATCAGAGGGAGAGAAATCATTTTCTCCATCCTCCCCAGCATTCTCATTGTTCTCATCTTCCTCCAGTTCAGCCTCCAGCAGCTGGTCAGTGTCTAATTCATCAAGGTCATCTGTATCATCGTCATCTTCATCATCATCCTCTTCCTCTTGCTCTTCCTCCTCCTGAAGAGAGAATAAATGAGCTCATTAAGTATAGACAAAAGTGTATCAATGAAAAAAGGAACACAAACCAACAAGGGGAATATAATACCACAATTTATCCCTTCATAAATTAAAGGCCATTGAAAATTACTTGCAAGTGTAACACCTTGACGTGTAAACCAGAGCAGATGCTTGCAATCCTGGGAACTGTCTCTTTCTTATCCTTAAGACAGTTATAACCCAAAGAAATAATAATGCAAGCCCATTCCCAATTACTACCTTGTCACAACATCTCACACTGACCTGGTGAGACCTACGCATTTAGTCTCCCCAAAATTCTTACACAGCTTGCTGGGTTTTTAGCAACCAGACTGAGACAACTAATCTCACGTCAAATAGGTCAGACAATAACTGGTACCGCTCACTTCTGACATGAATAAGATTTGGAGTTCAGTGCAAGGTTCTATCATGCCCCCACTACCAAACCCGGATCCAGATGTGATGCTGAAATCCTGAAAGAAGCTCAGTAATCTCAGTACTGACATTCCCAGCATGCGTCCAAGTCTTTATTCTATCAATTGTAAAGCATGAATGGTGTAACAAAGGGAAACACACTTGTGGAAACTTGGATTTAATGGTGCAACTGAATTCCTTATTCTGTAAATTAAATCAATGCCAGGCAGATACCACTTACGCTCCTTTCCTCTTGTGAAGTGAAATATTTTCACTTAGTTTCAGAGGTGCTTTTTCAGCCATCCGAACAAAAAGTGGGAAGGGGCACATGGGACACACTTTGCAAAACTGAAGCAGTTGAGAAATAATGTCACTGAGAGGCCTGACGAGATACTCTACTTTCTGTCTTTCACACCAAAGAGGTTTTGGATTATTGCATTTATTGAAGAAAGCAAAGCCCTGTCTTTATTCCACACCCACAACACATTTTTTGTCTGTACAAAAACTGAAACAAATAAAAGTTGTAAGTAAAATGTTCTTCAAAAGCACAGGCCTCCTGAGCGTAGGGGGTAACTCACTGCCCAAAAGCAGTAATTAAGGAGTAGCAGCAAGCACTGATACTCAACTAACAGAGTGAGTTCAACTGTTTAGCTTTATGGAGGACATCCACATTTACTGAGGGCATTTACATTTTTTAAAAACAGGTAAATGACTTTAAATATTAAAAATCAATTTTCTATTAAACATTTTTCTTTTTTGTAATTTTTTTGTAAATGGTAACATATTAGTGCCTAAATTCATAACGAATCAACATCATTTGAATAAAATGTGGCCCCAAAAAATCATCCTCAAATATTAAAGATGCCTGCCTTTTCTATCTTAAGCAGAACCACTGGGGAACCATCTCTGACTCACAAGGTAAAGTGAAACTTAATAAAATGCCAGCATCATAGGAATCGCAGGGAAGTAGGGCTGCAAAGGACCTCATGAGGCCTTCTGATCCAGCCCACAGCTCAAGGATCTTCTCTAGACTAAACAACGTTTGTTCTTTCAGGCCTTCCTCATATGCCATACAATTAATTCCATCTCAAGTGCATGACTTTGCACTTGTCCTTGCTGAATTTCATCTGACTGATTTCAAACCATATCTCCAATTTATCCATATCATTCTGGATCCTCACCCTACCCTCCAGAACATCTGTCATGCTATCCAACTTGGTATCATCTACTAGTTTGTGACTTGATCCCATCATCCAAATCATTAAATGAACAATACCAGACCCAGGAGGTACCCACTAAATACCTAATCCCAACCAGACAGTTATTGAAGCTTGCTCACTGAGCATGATGATTCAACCAGTAGTATATCCATGTTACAGTACTTTCATTTAGTCTGTATTTGCTTAGCTTATTAATGAGAATGTTGCAAGACGCATGTCAAAAGCTTTGAGAAAAAAAAATAGATTTATCACATCTACTGCTTTCCGCCATCCAAAAAACGTGTCACCTTATCATAGAAAAAAATCGAGTTGGTCAGGCATGACTTGCCATTGCTGAATCCATGCTGGCTGTTTCTGATCACCTTGTTTTCCTCCAGGTGCTTAAAAAAAAAGATTCCTTGATGACTTGGCTCTTTCCAGGTATAGAGGACAGACTGACAGGTCTGCAATTCCCCAGATAACCCTTCTTCCTTTTCTTGAAGATGAGCACTATTTATTTGGCTTTTTCCAATCATCTGGGACCTCATCCAACCATTACAAGTCTGCAAAGATGATAGCCGATGGCTCAGAAATTACCTCAGCCAATTCCTTCAGTTCTCTAGGGTTCGTTCCATCCCGCCCTGGTGACTTGAAAGCATTTAACTTCCTTAAGTACTCCCTAACCTGGTCTGTCACTACTGTAGGTTGTTTGCTCCCTTTCCTATCTTTGCTGCCTCTTCCTCTTACTTCTAACACTTTTGTAGAATTCCTTTTTATTGCCTTTTGTCCTCAAATCATGCCTTACACTTCGCGATATTCTCCCTATATGTTTGTGTAACTCATATACTCTTCCCTAGTAAAATGACCACATTTCCACTTTTTGTAGAATTCCTCCTTGCTTTTCAACTCATTGAAGAGATCACTGTTTAGCTGGGCCAGTCTCCTGGTGCACTTCTCATTCTTCTGTCTCACAAATGGTTTGCTACTGTGCCCTTAAGAGGGTCTCCCTCAAAGTAGAGTCAGTTCTCTTAGACTCCTTTTCCCCTCAGACTTGCCCCTCCACAGGATCCTGACCACCAGTTCCTTGAGTTTGCTAAAGTCTACTTTTCAGAAGTCCAGTGTCTTTATTTTGAACCTTTGTATGTACTGCTACCTAGGTCTTTATTCTGAAGCTCTCTTTTTCTTCCCTTAGAACAGGGGCAGCCAGCCTGCGACTCCAGAGCCACATGTGGCACTTCAGAAGTTACTATACTTCTCCTTGAATCTCTGCACAAGCACGTGGTGACCAGCTTCCAGGTACTTTAACTACCTGGAAGCTCCAAAAGGCAGCTGGTCACCATGTGCTTGTGCAAAAATTCAAGGAGATGCATATTAACTTCTGAAGAGCCGCACGTGGGTCACCCCTGCCTTAGAATCTTGAATTCTTGTTCATTGTGTGGTCACTGACCCCTAAGTTACTTTCTACCTTCACATTCTCAACCAATTCCTCCATTTGTGCGTAGTAATTCAAGAAGACCTTCCCCCTAGTTTAGCCTCTCCAACATTTGTACCCAAAGTAATTCCTAACACATTCCTGTATTGCTATACTGCTTATGCGCTGACGTGTTTCCGTCCCAGCAGATGGCATGGCAATTAAAGTCTCCCATGAGAACTAGTTCTGTGATTTGGAAATGTGCATTGGTTGTTTAAAGAAGGCCTCAACCATGTCCTCCTCCTAGACTGGTGGCCTTATAACCGCTGTCCCCTTTTACTTTCACCCAGAGGCTTTCAACAGGCCTATGTTCCACTTTGTGCTGCAGCTCAGAACATATGTGCATCTCCTTGATACATAAGGAAACACCACCTTTTTTCTCTGTGGCCTGTCCTTCCTCAACAAGCTATACCCAGTCATGACAGTACTCCAGTCATGTGAGGAACCCTACCACATCTGTTATCCCGATTACAATATAATTCCACAATTATACTAAAGCTTCCAACTCTTCCTGCTTATTCCTCATGCTTCTCACATTAGTGTATAAACATTTTCAGGTAACTAATGGATTGTCCCCATTTCTCCCTGATAACACTGCTGAGGTTTCCACTACTGTGTCCTTTTACTTGTTCCTTTTTATTTAGGTTCTCTGGCTCTTTACTTACCTTTGGTACTTTGTCTCCATCCCTCAGTGAACCTACTTCAAAGCTATCCAAACTAGGTTAGCAAGCATGGAAACGAAGACGCTCTTCCCCCTCTTCGTCAGATGGACCCCATCTCCTCCCAATAGTCCCTCTTGGAACATGACCCCATGGTCAAAGCAGCCGAAGTCTTTCTGGCAACACCATCTACAGGATATATGTACTGCTACCTAGGTCTTTATCCTTGACCAAAAGGGTAAATGAGAGCACTGTCTGGGCCCCTTCAACCTTGCACCCAGAGCCATGTAGTCGCTTTTGATTTGCTCAAAGCACACATGGATGAGTAGCATAGGGAGGTAATCTGAGGGTCAGATGAGCCTCAGCAACTTTGCCATGGCATCTCGGATACAGGCTCCTAGCAGGCAGCAGACTTCCCAAGCCAACAGGTCAGGCCAACCAATGAATGTCTCCATCCCCTGTAAGAGGGAGTCACTAACCACCATCATCTATCACTTCCTCTTGGTGGCAGTGGTTTTGATCCTCCCATGGCTTTTGTGAAGTAGGTTCCTCATCATCCTATTTCAGGGTTTTGTACCCTTTTGTCCACCTGGAGAGACACAGGTTCAAAAGAGGAGTGTTGTCTGCTGCCAGAGGTGAAAAGCGGCTAGCTTCCACCATCTTGAGTATCTGGGTCTTATGAGCCTAGCCATTTCGTCCTGCAACCCCCTTACCTAGCTGCTAAGAGAATTCACCAGAAAGCACCTCTTACACCACAGGAACTCCCCCACCTGGCTGATCTTGGCAGGGATCATAGGATGCTTTACCTCCTGGAAAATTCTCTCTTCTTCCTTTGCCTGGTTTCATTCAGCAACTTACAGCAAAGGAAGGGTAAAAAAAAAAAAAAAGTGGCTGGAGCAAACTTCCCCAAGCAACCCCTCTTATGTTTGTTGGTCCTGGTGTCACTGGAAGTTCTGGCTAGCTAGACTTTTGGTCTAGGCAAGCCTTACTTCTTCATTCACAGTGGTATCAGCTGTTGAACCTATCTGCTTAATGTCCCCCTGCAAAACAGCAACCAAACTGAATCTGCACCACCCAGGAGGAACCAGGCAGACCTTCTACTCAGCAGAAGTCATAAGCCCAAGTCTTCCTGCTCTTCTCCCAAGCAGAAGTCCCCACTCAAACTCCCCTATCTACTGGCCTGTTCATTGGTTCTGGTATAACTAGCTCCTGGAATAAACTACTTTTCAGCCATTACAA